TTATGTAACATACCCACAGCTTAGTCTAAAGCGAGTGGAATGTCACGCGATTTGTAGAACCGACGGTTGACTTTACTTACCCCCTTATAGTGCAACTGTCAGCAGTAATAAACTGTTTACCCTGCAGCACAACACTATACTCGTCAAGAATCTGGAATATTGCGTTGTTTCTTCATACATACCGAATAAGAAGAGAGTTGATAAGGCACAGGCGGGCTGGTCGTTTTAACATGAGCCGACTAGAGCGCTTTCAATGGGCTCGCCGATGAAGAAGAAACGAGGCAAACGGGCGACCAATCAGAGCGGAGCCCCGAAGGTTCCCGCCTACTCACGCGCTGGCTCGCTGCCATGGCGACCTCAACGGTTAGACACTAGACTTCAGCAAAGATGGGGAAAAATAGTAAGTTATGAAAACATTTTAGCTAAGTAATCAAAGAAAGTAAGCAGAAGAAACTCAAATAAGGTTAAAATAAACAAATTCGTATTCAAATTTGCTGTTTTTTTTTTTTTTTTTTTAAGAACATCAGCAGTTTTGTTAGTAAAGTTTGAATTTCATTGAACTTTTGTAAACATCATTGTGTGCTTTATAGGTATTTAAAATTACAATAAACATTTTCATTTAAAACATTAACTGTACTTTTTTTTATTCTAAGCACGTTTGGAAAGCCAACTATAGAGGAGGACTTGTGGAAATTTCCACTGAAACCAGCTCAAATAGTGAGCAGGAAGGATATGTAAATCTCCATAATCAGGCGTAACAACACCATAAAGAATGTAGAGAAGATAGATAGAAAGAAAATAAAGCAATAACAAAACAAGCTAAATACTGAAAAAACAGGGCCGTAACCAGGTTTTTTGAAATACCGAGGTCAAATATTGCGATAAATCCTACTTGACAAAAAAAACATCCTGACTTTTTAAAATATATTTTGGAAACTTCAATAAAGAGAGTTAAATCACAAGCCCATCAAGGAGTGGAATATGAACATCTTTATTATAACCATTCCAAAACTCACAAAATAGAGAATGTGAGTGAGTGAGTGAGTGAGTGAGTGAGTGAGTGAGTGAGTGAGTGAGTGAGTGAGTGAGTGAGTGAGTGAGTGAGTGAGTGAGTGAGTGAGTGAATGAATGTGAGTGAGTGAGTGAGTGAGTGAGAGAATGAATGTGAGTGAGTGAGTGAGTGAGTGAGAGAATGAATGTGAGTGAGTGAGTGAGTGAGTGAGAGAATGAATGTGAGTGAGTGAGTGAGTGAGTGAGTGAGAGAATGAATGTGAGTGAGTGAGTGAGTGAGTGAGTGAATGAGTAAGAGAATGAATGTGAGTGAGTGAGTGAGTGAGTGAGTGAGTGAGTGAGTGAGTGAGAGAATGAATGTGAGTGAGTGAGTGAGTGAGTGAGTGAGTGAGAGAATGAATGTGAGTGAGTGAGTGAGTGAGTGAGTGAGTGAGTGAGTGAGTGAGTGAGTGAGTGAGTGAGTGAGTGAGTGAGTGAGTGAGTGAATGAGTAAGAGAATGAATGTGAGTGAGTGAGTGAGATAATGAATGTGAGTGAGTGAGAGAGAGAGAGAGAGAGAGAGAGAGAATGAATGTGAGTGTGTGAGTGAATGAATGACTGAGTGAGTGAATGAGTGAGTGAGAGAGTGAAGTTAGTAGTGCATAGCTTATGACCGGGACAAAGTAAGCACAGGTCAATGAAGAGACTGATAAGAAGCCTTTTTTTATCTTCTGGGTCATTTGTTTCAATGTTCAGGATGTCTGGGAAATTCCTTGTCTGGAGAAGAGAAGGTGAGAGTCCTCCGTTGTGTCAGAAGGTAGGAGTCCTGATAACCATTGCTTTTAGAAAGACTGGGATCAAATCATCCTCTAAAAGCGGCTTCTTTAATATATTTTCCTGCATTTCTTTATATCAGCTGTTTGTTTGCTCATCTGTGTGTCTCATATCACCTCATATCACCCAAACAATTCCCAGAAGCTGCAAAACGCTGCTTGTCAATACAGCTTTTTTCTGATTCATAAACTCCATTTTAATTTATAACCACAGGCCATCTTGGCAAAAGTAATAACTAAACGGATCAAAGATCATACCAATGATGATTTTTAGAGTCATGCCACATTACTGTAACTATTAGATACAAACTATTTGCTTATTAAGCTCTTTAAAGGTTTGCATTTACAGCCATACAACCCATAGGAAAGAAAATCTAAAAAGAATCAATCGCAAAGATACAGCAGATATAGATTGTTTTCTAATAATTGTTTGTTTACTTAGGCATGCTTATTTATAAAAAAAAAATGAAAGTTTAATAGCACAATAACTCAGAGTTAAATTTACTGCCATGTTGTTTCTTAAACAGAAAAATGTACAACAATTATCTCATGAAAATATTGCAAAATAAAAAAAACACTTTTCAGTTTGTAATATTACTTTTACAAAGTTGTAAAACATTTAGAGAATGGACTCAAAAGCTCCACTGTTCACAAAACAAGTTATAGTATCCTAAATATGATCTTTTGTTGTAGAATTCAGTAGATATAATAAATATAATAATAATAATAATAACGGTTGACAAAAGGTATAGGTTAGTATTGTAACATTTCTAAAGAACTAAAAGAGAAGAAAAAACATATCTGCATAGGTGTTGATGAACGATGGTGGAATTCAGTTTCTTCTCAAATGGAGCCATCGACAATATACATGATCAGGATGAGAGTTAGTTTTGAAACATACAACTTTATTTATGCCAACAAACTAAATATTGCATTGTTTCCATAAAATAAAATGATAACAAAAGCTCAGCTAAAATAATATGTAATATCTGTATTTTAGGGACATTTTGAGAAAACAGACTTTTTGTATTATAGCCTTCTTTGTTATATTGCTCTTTGTATGATAATTTCACAAATGCATTGTTGAAGACATTATTGGTTAAAAAGCCTGAAGTGCTCTGCTTCAGTGATGATGATAAGAGGAAAATGTTTAAGTTAAATAGATGTCCATTTTATCTGTCATTTACATTTATGTATATATTTGTGTCTTATAAAGCCTTGAGGGTTGGACATACTGATGTATGCAAGACAAACTGATAATAAAATACTTTTTTAAATCATATTCATTGTGTATTAATTCTTGCATGTTTCTCCTGGCAGTGTGCTCTTCTATGGGTGAAATGAATGCTACACTCTGCACAGGTCATCAGTCCATTGCAGGTCAACATAGAGACATACTTACAGGCACACACACTCACACCTAGGGACAATTTAGAGATGCCAACTAACCTAAAAGTCATGTTTTGGACTGTGAGAGGAAGGCAGAGTACCAAGAGAGAACCCATGCATGCACAGGGAGAACATGTGAAAAACATCACTATGCAGCCCCGGCTGAAAAACTGCTGTTGTTATGTAGAATGTATGGAAAGACAAATACACATTTTTTTTACTAATTATCTGATTCAAATCAGATTAAGTGTATCCTGTCAGTGTGGGTTCTTGCTTTTTTTTCCCATACTTACCAAATCCTAGAAATAATGAGACATTTTTTGGGAGAGTTTATTCATTACTTTCCTCAAATTTGGCTAGTATTTACTTTGTATTTTGCAGTATTATTTTGTGTTAAACTTTTTGGCTTCGGTAAAAATTCAGAAAAAGGTTTCACAAACCTCTTTCAATTTACTGGACGGAGTTCAGAATTGAAATTGTTGTTTTTTCACACTTGGTGGTAAATCTATATATGTTTCTCATGGTGGACATTTCAGTTTGATTTACTTTAGTTAAAGGCATAGAAACCTTCAACATTAATACAAATCTGATGCTGTTTTGGCATTAAGCAAGTAGAATGGGTTTATGAATCTATCTAAAGCATGAAATATTTAAACTTATTTAATCTTTTACAAGGAGAATAAAATAGCAATTCACAAAAATGTAAAGGTCACATTTTAAAGGCGTAAAACTTTTTTTTTTGTTTAAACTTAGAAAAAAAGTCTTGCAGTACAGGTTGTAGTTTTATATTTAAGAAACTCATATTATAACTACCTTAAAATATATTCAGATGGTTCTAAGAATTTAAAAAGATGTCTGGTAATATGAATCTATATACCAGAGTTTAAAATATATATTTCTAAAAGAATATTAGATCAACTCTCTGTTTTCACAGCCGAAATGGTGGCAATTATACTAAGCTTACAATGGGTAGAGGAGGTTAGACCAGATAGGGTGGTGGTCTGTACAGATTCCAAAGCAGTTTTAAAAAGTATTCAGGGAGACAGAAATGATAGAAAACATTTAGTATTAGAAATCCAGCACAGTCTATTCAGATTATATAGGGGTGAAATTGATATTTGGTTATGTTGGGTTCCAGCACTTGAAGCTGTAAAAGGCAATGAAAAGGAAGATAAATTGGCAAAAGGGGCATTAGAGGGAACAATAACCATTAAAATTCCTTTAGGGAAAGGGGAAGGTAAATCACTTATTAAGAGTAAAGAAATGGAAAAATAGCAAAAGAGGTGGAACGAAGAAAAGAAAGGAAGAGGATTACATAAGGTACGAAAATCAGTATTAAATAAAATCATTAATGAGAGAAACAGAAGGGAAGAAGTAATAATCATCATATTAAGAGTGGGTCATACCTATTTAAATGACAATTTATATTTAACAGGGAGGGAAATAATGACAAATGTGAAGGATGTGGAAAAAAGAAAATGTAGAACATGTATTGATGAACTGTAAAACTTATGAACATGAAAGGGAGAAATTGAGAAGATTGGTTGGAAGGACAGGCAAGGAATGGAGTCTTAAAGGAATATTGGGAAATGAAGGAAATATAAAGGATATTCACAGATTAAGGAAAGCATCATTTATTAATCTACAGAATACAAAATTTAAAAATAGCATATGACGTAAAGTAATTTTGCTACACACTCATGTACAGTAGGTGGCGGTATGCAGCTAAAGGTTGCGTGCGATCCTCCATAATAGAAAAGAAGAAGCAGGTTGTAGTTTAGTGGGGGCGCTAATGAGTTGCGTTGCTGATTTGAACCGCTAGGAAGAAGCGCTCTGAGGGGAAGAAGAAGAAAGATGCTCTTTGGCCACGCTGGCTTAGGTAGGTTTCAGTTGATGTTAGAGGGGATATTATGTAGGAATTCTTTGATAAAGATGCAATTTAAAAGGTGCGAGAGTGAATTTGGCCCACTTAGGTCATCAGGTGTAAATGTTCTTCGTTTTAAATCTAAAGTTGTTTGGTTAACATCTGGTTTGAATGCGGAAGCGACGCTTCACGGCTAAATGTATGTTTAACATTGGATAATAAGTTGTCTTCTGTAAATGTATGTAAGTTAATTATAATGTTGGTGGTGTGTTTGCTATAGGAGGAGCGTGAAAGCGGCGGCCTGACTGCAGTCATCACCATGAGATGCTAGAAGGTGAGGATGAGAAGCGCACATGGTCATGGATTAGCAAAAAAATGGCTCAAATAATCTTGGGAAATGTGGTTATTGTCAAATTGTTATGCTAGCAGTCAGAAACATTTCTTAGCTTGATATGTAGGTGTCGACAGGGCTGATTGAAAGCCCACAGGCCCAGGTTAGCTCATCACATGAGCTAACTGGTTTCCTGGAGGAAGTCCTGAGCCCTCGCTTTCCCTCCAATTTAAACTAAACATTTTTTTTTTTTTTTTTTTTACAAAATGCAGGTTTAAGATAGACCTTTTGATTGATCTTAATAAAAGAAATCGATTATTTCTAATTCCTCTTTGTCTAAACAAAACCACGCAATAAATAGAACAAAATGTGTAGCAATTTAAATATAACAATATAATCAGCATTTTAACTGCAGGCTTAATATCCACGTTAAAAACAGAAATTAAGCAGCAGCAAAGCTTATAATTTAAGTTTTTATCTGGAGAAGATAGTTGGAGACAGACAGCAGAGAGATTATGCTCTGTTTGTTTGCACCACGAAGATAAATTAAGACACTGTCACACTAAGCTGCATTAAGTTTTGATTTAACTCAACCAAACAGCTGGTGTCTGCTTTTATTTGTCTTATCACTGCACATTACAACTTTAGAACCTATAGACTCATTCATAACGCTGCCCTCATGTGGCAGCAGGAGGAAACATGCATGAAAAGTGACACTAAAGACTTTTTTTTGTAAAGTACTTAACTAATTCTTTAAGATTTTCCCTCAGTTTGTATTTACAGCACTTTAAGAAGCTATGTGAGGTAATACATAACTAGTTTATTTACATACTACTCATTCATAACCAGAACCTTCCATGATAAACTGGTACAAAGCATGTCCAAGCTTCTAACATCCTGTTTAGGCCGAACAATAGGGCCTCACTATGCATCTGGGGGGGAGGAGTGGCGGCCTAGTGGTTGGGGCCCACAGACTGCCACTCTGCCTCTCTTAGCAAGACCCCTAACCCCACACTGCTGCCTGTGCGCTGCACAATGGCAGCCCACTGCTCCTCGAGGGGATTGAGAGGTTAATATCTCCAATGTGAGATCAATAAAGTTCAATTATTATTTACTTTTGTATGCTGTGTATTTTTCATATGCTTCCAAACATCCACACTAAGCATGTTTTGAGAGTGAAAACTAAAACCTACCAACCTCCTGGTCTTTGTTTTAATGTTAAGCATGTTTTTGGATGCATGGCCGAATTCTGTGTTACTTTGCACGTAGTAAATACAGTCAGACACCATGCTAAATTACTGTTTTTCACAAACTGACTTGACTAGATCAGAGTGCTCCTTATGTGCCTTGTTCTTATGTCAGAGTGACAACAATTTGTTTGAAACCTTTGAATGAAATCTACACAGTTCCTTTAAAACTAATCGGTTTTTATATTGAAGAAAAATGAGATTTTTTTTTTCCATTTATGGTCTTTTTGCTTTTCAGTCCTGCAGCAGAGGATTATGGAGCTCTGCTACACTCAGTTGTTAATGTAACTGGCTTGACCTTCACTCTGGACGGTATGTTTTACTCCCACCCTTAATAGTTATAAACATTAGATGATTAATGGGATCACTGGAAAGGTGACCCTGGGCATGGCTGAATTCTGCTCCAGCTGGGCTCTGTGCTGGATACAGTCAGACACCATGCAACAGCCTCGTCTCATCCCTGCCAACATAACCTGGATAGGCACTTCCCTCAGCTATTATCCAGCTACACAGGAAAGAGTACAATGATAAACTTAACATTCATAGCATGTCTTTAAAAACATTTTTTCCTGCAGGGCGCCAACATTCCAAACAGGAGAGGAGTCTGCTCTTTCTGTGGTAACTACACTCAAGTCTTTTTTTTTTTTTTTTTTTTAAAGATTTTCATTCCTTTGTTATTTATTTGAGTCAAAGTTGCAGTCCATAGGTGTTCCATGAAACATCTTGTTTCATGTAACACCATGACTATATGCCTCCCACCTGGACAGAGCCAGACCACAAATGAGGCTGTAAACGGACACTGCAGGGAGAGGCTGTGCCAGAAACAAGCACTTAGTGACCTGTAAAGATTTATGTGAATGCTTCTCACTACTTTTATAATAAACATGTCACTGTGCTGAAAATAACCTGTGTGTACTGTCTTTTTGTGTGTGTTTTAAATTGGGCTAGGCAATTAATTGCAATGTAACAAAATCCAATTTTCAAACTAAAGAGGAACTCAACTTTGGTTATGTTACTTTTAACAAGACTAAGACGAATTTGGATGTTGCTAAATTTGGGCTAGCATGTAGATTCATGCAAGCAATAGAACCACCATACAGGTTACGGTAAAGTCCTGCAACAATGGAATCTGGAAAAGCAAGCATTCAAGGTCATGAAAAAAATGAAACCCTGGAGGGAAACCTTTACATGTTTGTGGTCAGTACAAAGGAAAATTGACAAAATTGTTTTGTTTTTTTGTCTTTTCAGCATTAGTTATAAATTGAGTTCTCTGGAAGAGATGCAAGAAACAAAACCATGAAAAGTCTTTAAAGATTAGATGTGGGTTTAATATTAAAGTTTAATAAATATGTTTATACAAATTAAAATATTCTTTCATTAGAGCAGCTCACATTTTCCCTTTGTTTTTGCCTATGCAGTTTGAGTTCAGTCAAAACTAAAGATTGACATTTTGGGAACATACGAACTGATCCTAAATGAAACATTTCTATATTTTGACAAAAGATGAAGACTTCAGTGGAGGCTATATTCCTCTATATTAAGAACTCGTTTTACAGAATATTTTTTATGTAAAACAGAAAACCAAAAGCTTCCCTGACTAAAAGCTTTAGGAGGTACGTCCCCCACACTTCTCCCCTCATCCTCCAAGGACACTTAAGGGCTGTTCTGATTTTACCAGTTCAGTTTCTTGAGTAGAAGTAATTCCCAGTTGTTCAGACGTATCACCAGCTGTGTTGGCCCGACTCTTCCGCCTCGGTGGCTATAGAAAGCAGGATGGTCTTTGGAGAGTTCTCGAAAAGCGCGGCTCTGTTCTGAGTTTGGCCCTTCTTGACCCAGTGGCCGTAGATCTTGAAGGCGCAGGCGTCGATGAGTTTGCGGATGGGCTTGACTGCATACGGGTCGCTTTTAATCACCTCCTTGGTAACAGGCTTGGCCCGGCGGTAGTGGCAATAGATTCGCATGGTGGCGAGGACAGTCATGCAGATGACCTGATGGAGGTAACAGTTTATGAGCTAAAATTGATAACATTTTATGTTGAAATTAAACTTTCTTAAGGTTTGGTACCTCTGCATTATATAGATAGATGTACTTTATTTATCCCAAGCTGGGAAATTGCAGAAATATACAGGCTATAACTGTCCAATGATACAGATATTAAAGAATATTCCTGAAAATTATTCACGCGTGGCACAGTGGTGGGAGTAAGATTACTTGATTTATGAAAGTTCACTAACAAACAGCAACCAGTCATTTAATTCCCAGTCATTTAATTCTTTGGGTGATTTGAGCTAAATAGGGAGATATTTTAATGTTTCTGTACCAGTGGTATTGCAGCTGGCTGCTTTGATGCAATCTCAACTAAAACATTTTTTTTTTGTTCTTAAGATCAGCAAAGAACCAAAACAGATCGCAGACATAAAAAAAAGAGATTTAAGAAGCATCCTTGACGCTCTGCTCAGTCTTTAGACCTACAGAAAATCTGCACTTAAACTTCACGAGTTTTAAAAGACCTTCAGCTCAAAAATGTTACACATTTGTCCCAGTGCTGTTGGAGACACGCAATATACTAATTTAATTTATTTACAGGCTGTGAAACATTCAACTGTATTTTTGGATGACATTTGATAATGAGAAGAAGGATCTCTTACCTTGAATCGCCTGTATGGACTGAACTGCCGCACTTCATTAACTACATACTGAGAGAAAAACGAGTGGTTCAGAGCATCAGATGCAGTGAAACGCTGCTTTGGGTCCACCACCAACATCCGGGAGATCTTAAACAGTATAATATTAGCTTTAGGTTATTAAAACTTTTGCTGAAATTTTAAAAAGACAAACCTTAATGTTGGGTTTTTAAAAAAAAAGCCTACCAGATCTTTAACTGTATCAGAGCAATCCTCCCATTCTGGGGATGAGAAGTCATAAGTCCCTGCTAAGATCATCCGCAGCATCAGCATCTGTTTTCTGTGCCAGAAAGGTGGCGAGCCGGCCAGCAGAGTGTACATGATAACACCGGCGCTCCATCTGGAAACACAAGCATCAACGACAGAGACGTCTGTGACCTTTCTGAGCAGAAACTATAAGCAAGCTCTCTGATCGAAGCTTTGATTAGTCCAACACAGAACAGATGGAGTCAGCGTGGAAAGTTGAAATCCCCCTTTTACTGTCCATGTGAGATGGGCACCAATTAGTCTCTGGATACTTACATGTCAACAGCCGTGCCGTATCCTTTGTGTTCTGGATCCATGGAGCACTCGATGATCTCAGGAGCAAGGTAACCCGGTGTCCCACACACTTCTGCATTAAACACATGTTCAAATAGGCAGAAACCAACTTGTAAAAGCTGAGTGCACATTTTTCTGTTTTTAGACATACTGCAATAGTTACAATATACATGTTAGTGAATAGGGATGTTTAATCAAATAAATTCTGTTGTCTAAATATCACAGTATTAATCCAGAAAATGTCCCTTTCTAAAATAAACTGAATACAATGAGAGGATTTAATTTTTGTCAATTTTGTGGGGAAAAAAGTCAGCTGTAAAATGCCTTTTTAACTGTATAACCTATGATGGAGGCCCATCCTTTAGCTTCTCACAAAAGTGTGCAGGAATGTGTGACCATTCCTGCAGATCAAACTGCTGCAACTGAGTCAGGTTGGTAGGTTTAGCTGCAGACCACACCACTTTTTAGCTTTGCAAACACTTTATTCTAATTAGTGATGAGACTTGGACCTGACTTTCCTCCATTAAGCCCCTTTCAGACTGTATGATTGGGTCAATGTCGACATGAAAGACCTGTTTCTAACAAAGCTTTAACTGCATGGATGAAGTTTCACAACACCAATGCTTCCATTATCGTATTCTCAGTTGGTGGGGTTGTCAGGCTATCAAGCTTCCCCTCATTCTAATTTTGTCCCAAAGTGCATTTGGGGACTTTAATCTGTTTTTATTTATTTATTCTTGTTGCCTTTGGAGTAATGGCTGCTTCCTCTATTAGTGCTAGTAACTAGTACTTTCAAAGGTCTTTTGTTTTTGCTCAAAGTTAGTGTTTGGGACAGAACTGTCTTCTTCCTAAACGGTATAATCACAGAATATTCCCGTGATGTTTACGGTGTTCTTTAATTGTTTGGTCAGATGAAAATGGCGCCTTTAGGCTTTGAAAAACTTTATCCGAGGATTGATTAGGATCTCCTCAGTTTTCTTATAACAATTGACTGTTTTCCTCTGCTGAACTCAGATGTCTAGACCCTGCCTGTGAGTTGATTGTTTGAAAGTGACATTGATGTCTCTCTGTATGGAAAGGAACGGTTTTGTCTGATTTAATGTAAAACAGGGAGAAATAATTATTTTATTTTTTTATGTTTAAGTGAAAATCTGTTTTTAATAATGAAGGTTACAAAAAGTTTGATCTACTTAGCAAAAAAAAAAAAAAAGCTAAACCCAGAGTTCAGTAATGTGCAGCGAAAGTATGTGTCATTAAAGGATATTTACCATTGCTTTTACAATCCATTCCTATTATTCCTTATAGATTCACGTAATAATGTTTTTTCATGGGGGACACTGAACAACAGAATAACAACAAAAAAAAGGTAAGGATGCATTGTTTGGTTTATAAAGTCAGCCACAACAGATAAGAACTGTGATCCTCTTTTTAATACGGCTGGAGGTTAAAGCTGACTGTAACTTCTCATTAATCATTAACGTAAATTATAAAGGAGAAAAATTAAAAAGGTCAAAGGGACAAATCATTTACAGTCTCTTCTGTCACTGCATATCATAATAAGAAAAAAAATGATCTAAATAAGTAAAAAATTCTTAAGATTATAGTATTTTTCCCTTAATTTAGAAAGTAAATAACATTATTCCTCAAAGGAATAATAACTGTAGCTCTTGAAATTAAACAGTTCTTTTTTTCTTATTATTTTAAACTTATATCATCTTATATAGTCTGCATTTTTTCTTACTTACTTGCTCAAATTAAGAGAAAATACACTATTTTAAGAAAAAATTACTTCCCTATATTTCAATTTTGCATCATATGTGTTCATTACAGGGAAAAACCAGTTCTAGAGGACACTGGGCCTTGCCGGCCTGTCTAGAACCACCTATGATTTCAGCATATATGATTAGGGCATAATTACATTTCTAAGCTTGATGTGTTTGGAAACTTTAAAATGCAGATGCTTTATGTCCAACCAAGTCAGATCAACCTTTACCTCCCTTTATCAACAGAAATGCTAAATTAATAAAAAAAAAATAAGAGTTTTAATATTTACGTATGTGGAAGCTCAGTGGTTGCATTATTTCTTTTTTTTTCACCTTTTCTTTAAATTTTCTGATTTATAATTTTACTAACAAAGCAAAACTTCTCCTGTCTTTTGTGTTTAAAAATACATCTACTAAAAGTTGAATTAAGGCTTATCTATTGACTTTTGTCTAGCATATTTTACGGTTACCAGAGGATGGCTGCATCAAGCTTAATTAGACGCCGGTCCTAACCCTTGGAGTCCACCAAGTTCACTTCATCGGCAGTTTCTGCTGCTGATGATCTTAAGGTTTCTGGGAAGTCTAGTTAGAAAGGTCAGCATACCACGGCCCTCTGGCTGCAGCCAATAGATCAGAGTGTCCTGTGCTGTTCATAGCAGGAAGCACGCTTTGCAACTAGATCCAGATTCATGCCCCCCCAAAGCACCAACTGTTGCTCTAATGAAACAGCAGGTTGTGTAAGAAGGAAAGATAGCAGTTTTCCTTGTGGAGGGCACTAAACGTATCAACTGATCTTACAGGAAGTGATGCTGGAGCTGATCTCTATCCTTAAGTCAAAGCTTGAGGTTGTCAGTGAATTTTGTAGCAGATATAGGATTTAAGGGACTATTGGTTTGACTTGTGACTCCACTGAAAACC